ATCATATCGTACACGTTTATTCATGATATCATTAATTTTTCCATTACCTTTTTTCATTCCAGTCGCCATTTTGGGCCCGCCATTTTGAATTTTTAAAAACATCACATCGTCGAAAAATTTCAAGGAAAATTTTAAGTCCTTTTAAAAAATTTTATCTCAAAAATTGAAATGGGCAGAAGGTAGCTGATTTAACAAAGAACACCCCATATATATATCGCACTCAATGATAGAGAATGGTTGATGTATTTCGGTTAGCTCCCGAATTTCGAGCAGAAAAGATAAAAGGGCACCCGCCCATGTCCCCCAAATATGTATGATAAGAAAACGTTGTTTCGTTTGGAATGAAATCGCAATCGCCCTCTTCTCCACAAGGAATCCACTTTTCTTAATATAGGTTACAGTCATGGCGAACAGTTCAATTTTCTCACTCATAAATAGGCTCCTACTTTTTCTCGAACATCAATTTATATTAACTGAGAGAAGCATACGTGTTATGACAACATCGTCCCAAAATATATACCGCGATGAGTCGAGGGCGAAATTGCTGTGGTGAGGATCAATTCAGCAATCGAAAAAAGATTTCGGAGCTATCTTTAGGAAAGAAGCCGACAACTTGCCATTCGAATTGTTTTGTAGACACAAAATATGAATTTTTTCAATCTTTCCAAGAACAGCTTATTTTTCTCAAAATAAAATCAAAATACGTTTACAAACTTTTTATTTATTTTCGGAATGTTTATTGAAATCTTATAAAAAAAATTCCTAGTATTTTCCATGTATTTTCAGGTAAAAAAAATTAGAGAATTTTTTTAATGCAAAAAGTATAAGTTAGAGTAGCAAGCAATAAATAAATATATATGAAAATTAATGGAAGACAGGGATTTTTTATAAGACTTTCTATTGTTTTCTGCAATTGGAGCCGCGAAGCTATGAAATAGTATAATGCTTATTACAATATAATATCAGTTACTTTATTCTACTGAGTATTGTCTTTTACTGTCTCTCACCATCATTTTTTTATAATAAAAACTCACGAGTTGTGCAAGAACATAAATGTTATATTTATTGTTGAATGTAAATGTTACATTTGTTGATTGTTAATATTGTACATTATTAAGAAAAAATAACCTAAGAAATATTTTCGGAAAAAGATAAAATTTTAATTTAAAAGAAAAAAATTAAGAATTTCCCGAGTCTCCAACTACAATTTTATCCTAATTTCCTCGACAAAGATAAAAAAAAGAAAATCTAAAAAATCCAGCTTTTTCAGATTTTTGCATGTAAAGTAAATATCCTGATTATTTTGTTATTATGTAAATCGATAATAATCACATGCACTTCCAACTCTTCAACATTTTCCTTGTAAATTCTCATCACTTGCCTTATACAATCTGGCAAGTTAGCTTTAACGTAACTACTCACATGGTATTTCTCGCGGCATTTTCTCGCGCGCTCCGTAAATGTTGCAATTTCATGTAACGCGAAGCATACGTATACTCGACGACGGCTAATAATTTTCTCGAGTTTTTCTCGTCGTGTGAGACCGTCGAAAAGTAGAGAGCGTGTACATTTTCAAAGTAAAAGGCGGGCAACGCGAAGGGCTCAGCTTTGTCACCGAATCTCTACACCGCTCTCTCTCCGTCCTCGCGCGTCGCGACGCCGTGCGTAAAAAGTACACGTCTGCGCGCGCAAAAAGAAAGAGAAAGAAAGAAAGAAAGAAAGAAAGAAAGAAAGGGACACGCGAACATTAATGATCGTCGATAGACACAAACGGTTTTGCGTTACATGTTGTGCTATTGTAATGTGCTCGCATTCTCGTCGAGATATTTATGCAACTCGTATTGTGAGAAACATCAGGCGCCACGACATATTTTCATTTCCGTAAATGTTCTATAAAACAGTTATCACTCGTTGTTGTTTGTGACAAGAAAAAGAACGTGCTACCAGCAGATATAATTACGGTGAAATTAATTAGCATTTAATTTCTGCAAAAGAAGTAATATCAATGTATCAAAGATCGCTTTGAAAATTATTATTATTATTATTATTATTCGCAACGAGCATTTCATGATAATTAAAATGCATTTAGCGTGATTAAAACGTGAGCCGTGTAAAATAATATTTTAGACGTGTCTATTCAGCCGCTAAAAAGTCAAACCGGCCGGCGGGAACGGCTTCGTTCCGGCAGTTATTTTAACGATGCTATTAAGATCGTCCTGACATTTTCAAATGGCATTGTTTGTCATGATCAAAAATGACGGTAACGTTGGGAGAAATAACGCGCGGCGTTACTGCCCGATACGTCGATTTATGCCGCACACACTAAATGGCCACACGTCTCTTCGTAATTTATAAAAACATGTGCCAAAAGATAACTCAGGGGCTTTAAAGAGTGCATCGGTCATTACGTTTCCCGATTAAAATACGGACGGGCGAACGGGGCGAAAGCACGGGTTACGTTCCGACCAAGCTATTAATCAAACTGTATCGGCATTTTTCGGTGACGCAAACTCGTGGATTCAGTTAAACAGGAATTTCGGTAAATTCCACGGAAAATGAAAGCCCGCGGCCGCGTAACGCTTTACACGTATCGCGCCACGGTTTGCTTCTGTTTACTAGCTATACGGAAAATGATTAACGACGCGAGGAACGAGGTCGAACTTTCGGCACATCCGGCGGTTGCACGTGCAACCGAGTGATCCGAGACACGCCCGGCGTTCCATGCGGTTTTCAGACACGTCGGCGTCCTCGTCGTCGTCGCCATTCGCGTCCCCGGAAATTTCACCATTTTTTCACCGTCCTTCGTTGAAACGACGTGTGACGACGTTGAGCATACGTGACGAGAGCAGGTGCACGAGAAAAGTGTCGTTCGTCCTCCTCACGGTGGCAAAGCTTGAGCCATAAACGGCTGTTGCCTCAGCAGCGCGCAAAATATTAATTAAGGTACATTACCACGCTAAAAAGCCGTATCTTACGGCCCACATTTATATTCCCTTCTCTTACGAAACGAATGTTGCCCTCTTACTCTTTCAGTTCTTAAGGCGTGAATTTTTTTAATCTCTTGAAAATTTTAAACGTTCGCAGAAAGTATTCTGCAATAATTACATGAAAAATTGGACTCAGAAATAAAACAGTTTTTACGTATGATGTAACTTAGAATGTGGTAAACAAAAGTCATCATAGATATTAGGCTCTCACTCAATGGATAATTTTTAACTATGGTGTATCAAAGATGCTCTATGAATACAAGTTTTATTCCTTTGACGCATCATATCTTCAAAACTATTCGATATTAAGTCATATCTTTTGTTCACTATAAGCTACGTTAAGCGGTTTCTACGATAAGATTTTAAGATAAAACTTAAATTTTAAGAAATCGACCAATCATAGTCAAATGTGATCGATTTCTCACGGATTAAAGCTCGAAGTTTAAGTTTTATGCCTTAAAATCTCATTATAGACACTATTTATGTGTGAAAAGTAACTCATTTCATCAAGACTCAATTATTCATTTAATTAGTACGGAATCCTTTCTTTATCTCTTCTCCACTGCCGACGTCGACTTTTGACGTCCCGTCGAAATATTCCGATAAAATATTTACACTTGACCCGACTATCAATTTCAGTGAGACATAAATAGACTGCTTAATGGCATTCACAAAATCATCCATTCTTTCACTGATGCTATAACCTGTAAGTAGATCGATTAATAATCGTCAGATTCTATCTATCGGATGGCCACTTTCTTTCTGCTACAGTTTTCATCGGCTCGAAGTGACGTGTAAGGGCTGCACCAGGAATTAATTTTTCCTGTGGAACTACACGTCGATAATTTCTCTTCGTCCAACGGCCGACGATTATCTCACGACTGTCGACATTGCATACACGAGGCTAATTAATATTTGTCGTATCTCTCGTTGACATGCGCTGATACGTTAATAGATTGTGTGAAAAATTTTAAGTTTCTTTTCGCGAGTTCATCCGCCGAGTATTTTTTTTTTCCATCTCGTTTTGTTAAAAATTTCTACGAGCAACGATTCGGCTTTAGTCGACTTGTCCGAAAAAACGATTCCCAATCCCTTTGATGGACAGCCATACGTTCGTCGCAACTGGGAAGGCCGGAAGGAACGCGAGAACTCTTCGGGGACGCGAAAGCGACCGATCAGATTTCAATGGATGCATTTCAATCGAGGTCACTGCATACGAATTTCTCTTTGGTATGCAATGATTTATGGTTCGTTGCGCGTTCTGGTTGCGGTCGGTTCGTCGCCGAGGTAGCTGGAAGGGAGAAAAAAAGCTCTTCCAAAAAGCTCCGCACGACCGCTCCCGCCATCGGCGAAATGGACGGACCGAAAAGGAAGTTATCGGCGTTCCTTGTATTTTATTCGATCGTGTTGCGTGTATTACTACACAGTCGCCGAAATAGAAAAGAGAGATTTTCGAAGAGAAACGAAATATAAAATATCGGAGGATTTACGCGACCATCCATTTCTTAGAGTTCTTTAAAATTATTAAACAGTGCAGTATGGAGAGAGAGAGAGAGAGAGAGAACTGCTTTATAATTTTACAGTGTTGGTCCGTTCAATTATTCGTCTGCTCTTAAAAACGGCTTAATTTTTTCAAATTTCTTTTTCAGCAAAAAATACTCAAGGACTTCAGTTCCACCGAAGCAAAATATGAGTCAATCATTTGACCGTAAAGGGATCAAAGATCAAAGTCAATGAGATTTTTAGTAATAGGTATTGGATAAACAGCTTAACTTTTTCAAATTCTGATTTTTCGCTGTACTATTTCGTTATTTCGTTACATGCACTATTCCGTTGCAACGGTTTATCATCGAATAAAATTAAGTAATGAACGATAATTATTCTAATAAGATTGTCAGAAGATTCTTTTCTCGGCCGTTTAGACAAAAGCCTTAGAGCCTATCTTTGAACTCTGTGAAATCTGACGATATCGGATTCCGCTCGCAGTATCTTATTTTAATTAAAACCACTCACCTTCTTAGCGTCATTGTTGTTGTCGGCTGCGTGATGAGGTTGCGGACTCATTGAAGCACCATTGCTGACTGCCCCGCTTTGCGATAGAAGCTCGTCACTACCCCTCTGCAACAATAGAGAATACATTTGATATAAATAACTCTTTTACACGACTCCTCAATAAATTCCACTTTCCACGTCACGTTACATATTACGTCAGCGAGCAATAACGTAATTCAGAATTATTGCGAACGTCGCGCGTTTTTTTGTAACTCTACGACGATTTTCAAATATTATTAATTATACAATATATTTTCAGAGCACCAATAAAAAAAAAATATTGCAACAATATGTAAATCGTAAAAGTATTACTGTAATTTTACAGAATAACGTTAAGTTGGACGATACAATATTCCACGAGTATTAATCGCTCGTCTCGTTTTATCCTCGGAACTTCGAGAGGAATTGAAATAAATTATCACGTCGAGCATCTTTCGATTACTTAAAAAGTGGAAAGAAGCGGATCTTCAGCAAAATCCTATTCGATGTCTCGTTCTTAGAGTGCTGATAAATCTCGGACTTGGCGTCAAAAGAAACGGGTCAGAAGCGTGTAGTAGTAAGATGCTTTTAACATAGGTCTGAATCTAAATACTTAACGGAGACTCTCGGACGCGGAAAAACGTTGCGGTCACTCGAGCGAAGAGAATTTCTCTCGCGAGATATTAATAATTAATCCCTATGAACCTTCGTTTCCTTCGCAAATCATCACAAGAACTTCTACTTTCAACTCTTGAGAGATTACATTAATCGACCTACGTGCAATTACTGTAAAGAATTTACATGGAGAAAAAAAATTGTTATTACAATTACTATTATAATGTTTAATAACAAGAACAATATATATAATTATAGTTACAAATAAATAATATAATAAATTTTTCTTTCGGTGAATATGTCTATTTTTACGAAAGTTATAGGCAATCTTAAATTTGGTTGGGTATAATCACATTTAGTGTTGTTTCCGTAATGTAGCGTTTAAAAAGTTAATCAATCAGATTGTGCCTTTATGGTATGTTTTAGCAAATTTTTTGTCTGAAATTAGTTTCATTTAACATCGTCACATTATTCCGCGGATATTTTGTATAGAAAATCTAACAAATATCTAAAAAAATAATACGATTTCTTTTTAGGAACATGTTTTCCTTGTTGATGTAGCGGAGACTCGCCTTTTCACGATTACAACTTTTCTCATTCACATGCCGTTCATTATAGAATCGCGGTTTTCTCGTCGGCAACGTTCAACGTCAAAGGAGATCGCATGCATCGTGTATCGCTTAACAAAATATTTATTCCCCGCTGTACCGTTGCTGCATTTATTCACGAAATAAGCTATATTATGCAATCGTGGTTGGACATAGTCCGTTAAATTTGTAGATGAGCTTTGACAGCGAAAGCCTTCACTGTCTTACACAGGCGAAAATGCATGAAAGATAATTCATAACTCGTAAGGAAAACCACTGAGAACTTCGGCTACGTCGAGACGGAATGCAAAATCAAAGACTGAAAAGACGACTGAACGAAACAGAAGGAAGTGAACCATAGGATATGGCAGATTCACTCGCGACTAACCCTCGGGTCATCGAGCAACAAAAGACAAGAGCAACTCTTGACTTCGTTATTCTTTGAATGTTAACTGGAAAAGTTGCTGACCAATTTAAATAACTGCATTCACTCGTTTACAAAATAACCGATTTTATTATCATTTACAAAGATTTCTTTCGATTTCAGAAAACAAGCCAAGAGCAAAATTGCGAATTGCAAAGTCCATGATTTGCGATTTTCTTCGAATAAATTAAAAAAAAAATTAATATCTACTAATCTTCGCTTTACACAAGGAAGCATTTTTGCTTTCTCGAAATTTAATGGAAATAAACAATAAATAAGGAGCTACAAGCCAGATTTTTATAATATTTTAAATTTTATATATTGGATCATTTAAAAAGTATCCGCGGTTTTTTCATTCAAAAATTGAACAAAAAAAAACCGCGGATACTTTTTAAATGACCTAATATTTCAAATTTTTAGAACAAACGTTTCGATCTTATTATTAGGTCATCAGTGTCAAAAAATTAAACCCAAATTTGACAAAATTAATCAAACGGTCAAAATTATACAATTTATAGTTACGCAAAAAGTTGATAGTATTTATTCTATCTACCTTCCGCACAATGCAATGCTTTTCGTTCTAACATTATTGTTTATATTCTTCCATTATAACAGTTGCAATAAGTATAAAATAAAATAATGATAAAAATATTGAACATGATGAGTCATTAAATAAAAATGTACCAGCACACATTCTGTTATCAAATTAATAAAATAGATCATAAAAATTAAAATAACAATAAATAAATGATCATTCAATTATTCAAAATTATTAGTATATACAATCCTTTTAATAGACAACCATACCTATTAAAGTGTACGTTAATAAATAAAATTATTGTACATATACCTCAACTGCGATTGGTAAATCAGGATATAATCAGTAATTAATCAGAAACAATGAGTCAATTTAATTCGCAAGAAGCAAATACGAAAATATTTTTGTTTCTGAAAATATTTTGTTTCTTTTAACTCTCTAGGAAAAATTGTATATTTAAAACGTTCACTTAAAAATTAAATTCGGGATCTATGCAGATTAATTATACCTAAGTACTAAAGATGGAAATGTATGTAGCATTAAACACTGGAATTTCGTAATAGCGCGTGGTTCAGAGCGCTGAATGTAATAAACGAAGTTGTCCCCACTTCACTTCTAAACCATGAAATTCAGGGTCTTATTGGGAGTCACGATTCTATTATCTCATTCATGCTACTCACATGCTTCTAGCGCGTGGAAGGAATTTTGTACATTAATTCGAGGTTCGCTACGAGATTCCGGCACGAATGAGTGCACTTCTAACTATCAAAAACTATCGAAAAAATTATTTGCCAATATATGTACTAATAGAGATAGATTGATATCGATAGAGTGCATACAATGATAGATTTTTCAATCACAAGATATTTTTGAGTAAAATCTGTAAAAAAATATTATTTTTAAATGATAAAACGATACTACTTCTAGAAGTTAATTTTTCACTCGAGACAGCTACACTGAAAAAAATTATGTTGTATCAATAATATTATTTTAAGAACATATCTATCCTTATTATAGATATACAATCCTTACCAAAAGTTTGAAATTAAAAATGTGTTAATATTTACACTTTCTACATAAAAATAAATATGAAAACTATATACATATATACAAAAATTGTGTATTTAACATCATATTTTTAATCAACAACACCTTTTTATTTATTTACTGTATTTGTTATCATTTTTTAAGTTCAATAAATAAACTATAAAAAAGTGTTGTTAATTAAAAATATGATCACATAACTGTTTCGTATCTATTTAATTTTGATATTTATTGTTATACAGAAAGTGTAAATATTAACACATTTTTAACTTCAAACTTTTAATAGGGACTGCGTATATCAGATACATCTTTAAGTGAAAATAACTTTGTTAGCTCATGTTAATAAAACAAATAATATTTTATTAAAACAAGAGCATGACGTATTTGTTTAATTAATGTGTTATTGAATTGACAAAATTATTTTCAATTAAAAAATAATACTACAAGTATTCGGACAATATCATTTTTTTCAGTGTAAGTAGCATCGCACGAAATACGCGATAACGTAAATTAAATGCAATGTAAAAAATATGTTATGTACATATACATTGTAAAAATGTACATCTACTCGTCCGAAGTACGGAAAGTCACAAAAGTGTTTATCCCCAACTCGAAAAATAAATACACGTGGAAAGCTTCGCAAGTGCAATTAGAAGAACGCGTTCTCTGCGACGACGCACGTTTCATACACGGTTTATCTTGCGAAAGTACACCGCGAACGTTTTCAGCGCATTGAGTGCGCGCTGTTAGATGGAATATTGTTCAAAGAGCGGCAAGAAGGAGCTCTTATATGGAACGAGATTCTCGTCTCTCAGGATCATAGAAAAAGAAAGAGGGAGAAGCAGCAGTCTGGGTGGAGACAAGCCACGGAAAGGGACTCGGATTCCATATTTTCCTCGGATATGGGGATAGGGGTTCATCCTCTCTGACCAACATCCGGTGGTGCTGTCCGCCCCGGTCCCGGTGCTCGTGTATTATTTATTTCCCGCGGACGTATGGATTATGGACCAGCCAGCTCCCCTTTCGCTTCAGAGCTTCGTAACCACCGTCACGAACTCCGGTTTCTCCCTCACTCCCCCGCTGTATCTACTCTGCTTTCATCCCTCAATTCTCCACCCCTGAACAACTACCATCCCCGATTCCCGTCCCGGCTTCTTCTTTCAACTTCGCGGATCGCAAGGTTGTTTTCTCTCGATCTTCGCGAACCGTCGAGATCTTAAATCCAAGAAGCAACCGCTGTATCTCTCTTTTTTTTTCTTCCTTACCCACCTTTCGATCGCCGTTTTCTCCATTTCGCTTTCTTTTTTTTCGTTCGTGTTTCCGCTGAAAGAAAATCTCCCGTGCGACCCGGCGAAGAGCGTTTTACGTGCCCGACGACCCGCACGGAATTGTCTCAAGATCGTCCGCACAGAGGAAGTGGAGACGGACGCTGGTACATTGAGCGAGTGATACCCGGGAACGATGAAGCTTCGCTCGGATGACAAACCAATCTCACGCGCCGGCTGCGAGCCCGATGAGCTCTCCGGCCACGGACGCTATCGAAGAAGAAAACTCGTGACACGCTCCGTTGGGCTCATCTGGATCTGATAACTATCGGATGAATAAATACCGAATGCACGAATGAGTGTATTAAATTCTGTTCGATCCGGCGATAGTTGAAAAAGCGTAGTCAAGAAACAAATAGAAAATAAAACGCAATTTTCGACCGAAATCTGAATATCAAAATTGTTACCGGAAGCAATCTTAGCTGTGATCCTGTTATTCTTGGGCATGGCTACTCGTCGGCCGCTTACGAGCCGGTGATTGCCTAGCCGTAGGTAGGTCAATTTTCTCGGTAAGTCGTCTCGTGCAAAGGACGAAGACGACGATGATGACGATG